AAGTGATACACTGGAGAGAGGACGACAAGTATGGGCCAGAGGGAAGAGAATGCAAACATGTGCTCCAATGGAACAAAGTAGTCGGCAAGGCAGAGAGGCAGAAAAAGGATGTGCTAACTGGCAGATGCAGGACAGACAGGAAGCCGGGACCGGAGGGGAAAGCAGCAGGTGAAGATGCCTACGAACACAGCAGCACGGGCAACTCCACTTTAAAAAGTGTATGCCCACTAGGGTGGCAGCTATCAAAAAAAAAAAAGACCTAGTAATGTGGGGATGTGGAGAAATTGGAACATTTGGGCACTGATGGTGGGAATGCAAAAGGATATAGCCACTCTCTACGGAAATGATACGGCTTTTCCTCCAACTACCGTGTGACCCAGGAATTCCCCTGCTGGATGAGTACCCAAAAGAATTGAAAGCAGAGACTCAACGAGGTACTCGTACACCCATGTTCACTCGTACACCCATGTTCACAGCAGCATTATTTGCAATAGTCAAGAGGTGTGTCCAATTGATAGATGAATGGGTAAACAAATGCAGTCGATCCATACAATGGATTATTATTCAGCCTTAAAAAGGAAGATAATTCTGACACTGCTACAACATGGAAGAACCTTGAGGATATTGTGCTAAGTGAAATAAGCCAGTCACAAAAGGACAATTGCAGTGTGATTCTGCTTACGTGAGCTACCTCGAGTAGTTAAACTCAAAGACAGAAAGTAGAATGGGGGTTGCCAGGAGCCAGAAGGAAGGGGGAATGGATAGTTATTGTTTAATAAGTAGAGTTTCAGTTTTTCTGATGAAAAGAGTTCAGGACAGGGATGGTGGGGATGCTCACACAACCATGTACTTAATACCACTGAACTGCACACTGAAAAGTAGTGAAGATGGTCAATTATACGTTGAGTAAATTTTTACCACAAGGAAAAATTTGTTTTTCAAAAAAGAAGATAATATTGCGAATCTTGTGGTGGACAATTCTACACCAGATAATTGTGAGTAAACCTTTTGAATAAGGGTCTTTGTGTTGTTTGTTTGGCTTCTTGAAAAAGAAAATAAGCGAAAACACAACAATACTTAAAATGGTCCTTCTGGGAACAGAAATCAGGACTACAGGAAATGAGTGTCCCAAAACAAAAGATCAGGATACCTCGCATAAAGAAACAGGTTGGACCTGCCCTTTTAATAGAAAACATCCTACCAGTATGTATGTGGGCATGGGTGGCCTACAAATACTCAGAAGGTCTTCTTGCCTCTCCACCCATCTGACTTTTTACGGGGCTAGAAGAACAAGAGTAGTTCTTCTCCCACATCAGCAAGACTACCCCTAAAATCCTCTTCCCATGGACCACCAGATTACTCTCCCCAGCCCCAGAGACTCAATGGATATTCAGAAGAAGCTTCCAGCTAGAGAAGAGATTCTGAAAACAGCACAGCTCATGAAAAAGATGGTTGAATTAGAGCTTCCCTCTGAAACCACAAAATGTAAATCGGTTTGAGCCTTTTTATTTTTATTTGCCACACACAGGTCTTTATAGAAAAGATTCAGGCTGAAGACTGCAGGAAAGATTATGTTTTCATTGCTGTTTTTGCTTCGGTCTGTTCTGTTTTGTTGGATTCTTTCCAGTTAGGAACTTTGGATTTTTACACTAAAAATTAATAAGTCCCACTGCCACTCTACACACATATGTATTTGTACACAGAAGGCAGGCCCTGCTGGAAGCCCCAGATTCAGCAGCAAGTCCTGCCGGGCTGTGTGCTGGCCTGGCTTTTTGGAGATGGGTGTGGCTGCCCCAGGATTCACAAAAGCATTTGAAAAGACAACTGAGAATAATTCATGTTTCTGGAGAGATCAAGGCAGGGAGTAATTTAGCAGGAAAAAAAAAGAAATCTCAGTCCAAGGCTCAGCCTTCAGAAATGGAGAACTAAGTCTCTGATAGGGATGTCCTATTGTAAAATGTAATGATTTTCAGTTAAGGGGCCACAAGGTAGTAAAAGCTATTTTTTGTATTTCAAGCAGCCTATTGGAAACTGACTATCTGCCCAGGATGTGGTCACATGGGCTTAGTGCAAAGTCAAGTTGCTTTGTGTTTGAGGTGGAAGTCTTATGAAGGCAGGGTGGTAAAATAGGTTGTCTCACCTCCATCAAAAACTCTGCTTGGCCATTGATGAGATCAAGGGCATTTCTGGTATGAGATTTTTCCTTCCCATTCTATTGAATGTCTTTGATTAATAAAAATGGAGTTATGGCCAAATTATTGCTTGTCAATTGCAGTTTGGCAGGCAAAATCTTACAAAACTCTGGGTTCAACCACCAAAGAACAAATGTAAAAGGGGTCCTTTGTAGTGAAAAGTCTGGGAACCACCCATGGGCCTTCCCTTACTCTCCCCTAAACACATATAATTCCAAGGGAATAAGCAGGCTTCCTGGAGCCAGAGGAGAGCATGCACGTTGTGTGAGAAAACTCCAAGAGAGACAGTGTAAATTAACTGCATCTGGTTAGACTGAGCGAGAAGGGGGGGGGGAGATAATTAGTTGGCATTACAGGAACAAGGGCAAAGAAGAGAGTTCTATATTTACTCAAAGGAAATCCAAAATAGACTACTTTGCACCCGTTTGGTACTCGTGGGGGATCTTGATGCCTTCAGATTGGCAGATGTTGAACCCGGGGACCAGACGCACAACTCCACCAAACCCCTGGATGACACAAAGCACCCGTCCCACCTCCAACAAATGGAAACCTGACTTTGTCCTCTTTTACTTCCACAAATGAAGGGAAGAAGCCTAAGATGAGCCCAAAAGACATTCAGGAGCAATAAGACAAGATACCAGAGAGGGAACTCTATCTTCAAACAAAAGCCCTACAAATGAGTGTGCCAAACAGCATCTGTTTATAATAAAATGGGTTCTCTAAAAATCTGATACTGGCCAATTTACAGTACCCTTTGGTATGTATGTCTCCATGTGTAGACGTGCAACATTTCGGAAGTAACACATTTCAAGTGATGGAGAGACATCTACGGGCTGTTTTACTGTGCGTAGGACAGTAAAAATAAATGCCACAGTCACGTAAACTCGATATTCTTCAGCCAAGGTACAATTTCCATCTTCTGAGAAGAATTTAAGGCATTCTAGCACAAACAAGAAGGCATCTAATATGAAAATCTTCTTTCTTGATAGATACAAAAAGACTACTTTCTCTTGTACATGTAACACACGTATTACACGGGAAGAAAACATCAGCATAGTCAGCTTTATCACGGGTGCAGGTTATATGCAGTTTCTTAGTAAGACTGCTGCTAAGTGTAGTCATTAGGATGTGTGCTTATGAAATGGAAGGTGCAGGTTAGCATTTATGGGTTTGCAAACATTTCTAAAGCTAGTTATGGGGTGTTTATTACAAGAAAAGATGTATCAATCATGAGCCTAGAGCACCTTCTTGGAAGGGGAATGAGAGTTAGGGAAGAATACTAGATGAAGGTCAGCGGGTCCAGTGCACATGTCGGGAAGGACTGGCTCTGCATCCGGGCTGCTCTCAGAGGCTTCACATTTCCCCAGAGGATCCCAAGAGCACACTGGGGAGTTGGGAAATGATGTCACGTGCAATCAGCACCTCTAACTCCCACGAGTAGGGACAGAAGGTTGTGGCAGCAAGACAAGCACAGGCCTGGCAGTGGAGACAACTATGCTCTCCTGCCAGCTCTGCCCCCAAGCAGCTGTGCAACTGTGGACAAGTCACATCGCCACTCTGGGCTCCGGCTTTGCACCTAGCAAATGAGGAAGACTGCAGACCCCAAAAAGGTCTTAAGCACTCTCTCACCTTCAGTTCTATGCACTTTCAGAAAAAAACAAATTCCAACGAGCTCCCTAAAATTGGTCTCACCTGAACCCCCCAGGATGGCAAAAGCACCACACACAGCCAACAAACATCCTATCTGGTGACCATCCTCTTCCGAGCATCTCAGGGAGCACTGTAAAACTGCCGTGGGTATTTCCGGGGCTTCCTGAAACCCTCCAACTATCCCTTCCATTGTACCATGGAGGGACAAAGATGCTGAGAGCTTTGTCCAAGGTCAGAAGCTGGGACAGGATCAGAATTCCAGCCTCCTCTTTCCTAGGCTAGGCTCTACTTTTCACAGAGAAACCAAGCTGCCTTTCTGGGAAGAATGCCAGAAGTTCCATCCTCCCAACGGAGAATTCACTGGGATATTGGAATAACAATTTAGGAGACTGTGGTCTCTCCAATCCATTTCAGGACCTGGCTAGAAACATGAAAACCCAAAGAAAGAAGCAATGGGGAATTATTCCGTTTTTTAACGAAAGAGAAAAAATTAGGGGTGGGAATATGGGATTTCTTAAAAATTACATGATTGCTGGAAGTTAATTTGGTATTTCTTCGTTGATTTGTAAGTTCTGTTTCCAATCACAAAAACAGACAGCTGAGGAGGCCTAAACCACATTTCAGTGAATTAGCATCTTGTCCCAAAGAATCTTCCCACTCTGAATATAACATAGAACCCAGAATACAATCTTCTCTGGTGGAATCTCCCCTGGTACAACAGAGAGCTCCCCATAATCCCCTACACCATAATCCAAATTGGTATTCTTCAAGCCCAACAGCCATCACGGAGAATGTTAAAGAGGTTGCCACTTAACTTGGGGTATAGTGCCTCCTAGGAAACTGAGACCCTACCCTGCCAGCCAGGAGAGATGGCATTCTTTATCACCTTTACCATCCACCTGCTCCTTATTAGGCTGAAGTCAGTGCACCTGGAAAAGAATCCCATCATAGATTTAGAGACATATGTTCAAAAAGGAAGGCTCTGCCTTACTCCAAAAAGGCCAACCAGAAGAGGAACACACACGCTGGACTAGCTTCATGCCTTGAAAATAACACAAAAGCAACCTTGCAGCAAAGTCCAAGTAATCAGTACTCCGAGCTGAGAGTCATAAAGAGAAACCAGAAATGATTTATTTTTAAATCACTTCTTCCCCCTACCTGTCGATGATGACAGGGTCTGAAGGAGTCTCATTTCGGTTTCCACAACTTTTCTTTTCGCAACATCGACTGCAGAATCAGAAGGAGCCAAAAGAGTAAAAGAAATGTGTTAAAATCAAGAAAATACAATGAGTATACAATGTAAGAGGCTTCACAGAAATGAATGTATGTCCTAGGTAGCCTCTTAACTTATCAACTGCTCACAAGCAGAATGTATGGCCATGTTTAAAAACAATACTGAACTTGAAACCCAAAGATACTCATTCAAATTCTCACTCTTATGACTTGTAAACTCGGTGTTTCTCAGCAATTCACAACTTTCCAAGAGCCATAGTTTTAATCTGAATCACAGGCAGTTGGATTTTAAGGTCTATAGGGTCACTTCCAATTCCTTGTTGAATGATTTTATGATTGTATATTTTAGATCTTGGCATCTTAATAAATATTTGAAGAAAAGGGGGAAGGAAAATGTATAAAATAGACCCAAGTTACTGCCTAGGTTATTATAAACCTTATTTACCTCATATCTTTCCCCAGAGAACTCAGTGTACTTTATAAACATTTATTCATTTGTTCATTTCCATCATTTCCTAAAGATACAGGAGGAAGCCCAGAACTATGTGTACATTGTAAAGTAGGAAGAAAACGGGGCAGGGAATTGTAAAATGTTAATCTCCAATCCTTTTCACCAAGTCCAGAACAGAAAGGGGACTCCATGTGTAAGCCCCATCTTGAGAACTCTGCCTCTCATAACCTCCACCTAGCAAAGTGCTAGACGCTTAAGAAATGCCTGTGGCATTATCTGAGAGCGAGTGAGGAGGAAACCAATTACACCAGACAGGAAGGACTCCCTAGGACCTGAGCAGAGAGCAAAACTCTCCAATCCAAAGGTGCCTACATGAAAGACCTAGAAAAATATGTAAAGGGCAAAGGAAGCTCGGAAGCACTGGAAAATCACCTCCCCACGTCACCTGTCTGCTGTTGTTAGGACCCCAGGCTTCCGAATACCTCTCAGCTCATTCAAGTACATGGCCCACCATCAGTGGTAGTGGGTTAAGGAGGTAGCCTTGACATCGCTATAAGGAAAGCATTACCATCCACACTGGCTGGAGAACATGTCTCATAAACGTTAGCAATAGCCAAAGTATATACAAGCACAGCCCCTCCCATGATGGTTTCTCTGTAGTTTCAAATTGATGCAATGCAATAGAAAGATTGCTAAGGCTCTGCCATCTAACCCAACTCGGTCCCTAACCAGCTACGTCAGTGGAGTCAAATCTCTTTAACCTTTCTGGGATTTATTTTCCCTATAGATAAACTTGAAGTGTTGGACTAGCTTATCTGCCTCCTAGGTTTAAGAAGACCACGAGGCTATGAGGCTTTCTGAGCACACTCTGAAAGTGACGACAAAGACAGGAAAAGAAGGAAGCCATGTGGCAGTAGGGACCCAAAGGCCCATCACCAGCCCTGTCATAGATGTGGTTTCTGGCCCTCTGTGGTTCTTGGCCTCCTCTGAGCCTCCACAAAATTAAAACACATAAACAAAGATTTAAAAACTTTTAAGTCCAACTCTCTCCTGCAGGGATGTGTGGATTATTCGGGGAAACAATTCTCCCATCCTCAAAAAAATATCCTTGAGATATGCTGAAAAATTTTTAACAAATGAGCACAATGAGGTTTTAAGAAATCTAATCAAATTATAGGAAGTAAAAGAAAGATTCTCTCAACCTTTGTAAATACCGAAGCTTACCACTGGAACTTTCTAAAATAACATTTTGCCTTTGAAATTATATTAGGTCTTAGCTTTTAAAATTTCAATCCATCCCAAGATTAACACCAATAAAAGTGCTAGCCAGCTGCTCCCCTACCTCCCAAAGCCCTTGCCTGCTTCTCTTCCCAACTTCTGTCCCCACCCAGTTCTGTCTCCTTCCTCTCCTCTCTATTGCTTATGTAGCAGAATACCTTTGCAACCCGGCAAAACTTTCCTCTAAGCAACACAATTTCAAAAGCCCCACATCAGCTAGTTACCTAAAGACCTAGACTCTCCTTTGACATCACCAACACATCAACCTAACCCCAAGTATGTGTTTGATGCTGGGCACAATTTAATTGCAAGAGCACACACTGTCAGGACGTGCCAATCTGTTTAGTGTGAGTGGGAATGATTTGGAGGAGGCCAAGTCTGTTTGCAAAATTGCTCAGCTGAATTCAGCTGCTTTCCACTGGGATTTTCTCTGAAGGAAAAGAAAAACAGATAAAAATGTAAGCCTGGTGCCAGTGTGTAGAATCAACTGGGGGAAGGAAATGATATTCTAAGAAAAATGCAGAGAAACATTAGGACCCAGTCTTCTACTTTTCAACAGTAACATATTTAAGTATAATCTCTCATGTTAAGAGCAGAGAAAAGATGCAGAAGGTACCCACTTCACTGTGGGACTGCAAAAGTAAAGGTATAAAAATAACAGGAGTGTGGATAGTATTTGCCCCATTTAAGCCCTAAGATTTCTCTGGGTTAACGAAAGCTAATGCTTTTTTTAAAGAAAAAGTCTCATCCGGATGTCCTAGTTATTCTTTATTTGGCATGCTGTCCTCATGCCCGGCAATATTATCATAAGCAAAGGGAAATGGAGCATGGAACACATTCATGAACACCCATCCTCCAAACTGTTCTGGAATAGGTACATGGATTGTTGACATAAAGGAACTGGTCCCTGAATTACTCAGATAACAAACTCAGGTGTCCCTTCCCTTTGTAGACAAAGCCTGGGTGACCAATGCAGGTTCAGCTACTGAAGCTAAAGGGTTTTTGCGGGGAGGTGGGGGGGAAGGGGGGCGGGCTATTTTCTAACAAGCAAGTCTCTAAGTCTGAAGTTCCTGATGAATGTTTTTCAAAACTATAAAGTAGGAAAAGAAGGGGGGTGAAATTATACAAAGAGAAGAAGAAACCGAACTTGGCTAGGTGGACTGGGCACCTAACACCCGCCGGGCAGCTCAGAAATGCTCTTTTTTCCTAATGAATGACAATGAAAGCCCTTGCTGCTCCCCGCTTTAGCTCAGTTTGGTTTATTTTATTCTACCGTTTACTTAGAGAACCTTTTACTGAAGTACTCTTAATGAGCTTACAGGCCTCTTTCATCCTCTCTATCTTCTCACGGAGACTTTAGAGAGGAAAAGAGAAAAAAAATAAAACAAGTTGGGGATGGGGCCTGGAGGAATATGAGAAATTTTACCCCAACCCTAACTGTTACCTGCATTTTTCAGAAAGGGAGAAAGAAGGGGAGAGGCTGAAAAAGGAAAAACAGCCCCAGCCCTGGACACACGAAGTCCAGTCAGTCAAACTCCTGCTCAAGACAAGCGAGTATGCCCTTTCCCCCCTGAAATCGTTTTTAAAATTCAACCCTCAACTTTCAAAAATCTGTCTCTAATTTCAAACTCAAATAAGCGCACAGCATGGTGGCTTTTGTTTTGTTTTCTTCTCCCCAACTCCTCCCTGCGATTGCATAACAAAAGTGTCTAAATTCACACCATCTGGCCGATAAAGACACTGGCCCCACTGCCCGGCTGGCCCATCTGATTAGGGCCCTGTCTAGCCTGCGCCTTGTGGCGAAAAGTCACAGCTGTGGGGTTTGCTCACGCTCAATACAACTCTGTTATTAGCCAGCTGTAGGCCTTGAGACGACTTCTGTTCAAATTATAATATCTTTTAACCCTCTGAGCATTGAGGGCACAGGGGTGGCTGGCAGCGCCATTACAACTAGATTTCTCCTTGCTAATAATTGGCAAAACGAACTAAAGCCGGGAAGAGGGGAGCAGAGACAACTGGGGAAGGGAGAGAAAGTTATTCTTAGATTTATTTGGTTCCCCCCTCAGAACTAAACACCAATTTATGAGCTTTTTTTTTTTGACTAAAGAGCACAGAACATGAAACCATTCAGGGACATTCCCAGGTATGCCCAAGGACACCATGATAGGGGAGCTAAGTATGTGCAATAACCACTGGGAAACAGGGCAGCTGATTCATGCCCCAATCACTGACTGTTATAACTGGCCTTTAAAATCTGGGAGAAGGAACTTTTTTTCCTTACTGGAGAATCAACCAGCTCTGAATGACAGATGGAATGAAACTTCCCTTTTAGATGCATCCAATATTTGCCATTACTCCAGCCCAACAAGCAAAGCACACACACATGCACGCTTGCACACACACACACACACACACACACACACACACACTAGACAAGGTACCCATCCAGTGGGTCATTTATTTACCCATAATTAATATTTGTTTTAAATTCCAGTTTGGGAAGAAAATAGCAGAGCATCTTCCCAGATCTCAAATGCAGGGAAGTTCCAGTACATTAAATTTTTATATTGTGTTACTAATGCAGACTAAACTAGAGGCTTTAAAAATTGATGCTGCTACTTAAACAGCATAAAATGAGGAGATTTGATTGAGCTTAAAAATAAAAATGTCAACCTTAACTACAGTGGGCTGGGGCATGAAAGTATTATTTAGGGATAGGTATAATTCGTCAGACAATGGGCCAGTTTGGGGTTTTGTTTTCTTTTCTTTTAAGAAGATAACCTCTCCAAACAAGGACATTTAAAAGTATAAAGAAGAATTTTAAAATGCCCTTCAATTAGCCAACCAAATTGAAGTATTCTGACTATTTAATCTAGGTATTACATGCAGGTTCATCTTGAAATGTATTTTCTTTCCAAACGAATCTATCAAGGCGCCTTGGGATAATGGAGTAGCTATGTGCTTACCCCATCACCCGATGCCTCACCCAGCTACTCAGGCAAGGAAGCCTCAATTCCCCTCAGCTGAAGCCACTGGCAGAGTTGAACTTCGCATTGGGCAAAGTTTGTTTTTCTAATACTTGGTCAAAACCAAAACAAACATATCTAATTGTTATGGTTTCTTCCTGACTGCTTTGGAAAGGAGATGGGGCTGCCCATAAAACGTTCAGTCCAAACTAAATCAGACGGCCTGCAATTACCCAAAACTAGCAAGTCTGGAGTTGGAAGACATTCACTGAAGAATTGAGACTTTCTCTCCAATCAGATTGTGGAGCAAGAAAAATGTATATGGAATAAACATTTAAATTTTTATGGTAAAATAGCCATCTCTTCCTAAGTTCCTGTTTATAGCTGTTCTCGTTGCCATGGGATCATCAATACCTGGCACATATTAAGCACTCAATAAATATTTGGTGAAAGAATAAGTATGTGGATGAATTTCTTCAAATGTTTTATTTTCTCCTAGTGAGGTAGAAGAAAGGGCTCAAAATGGAATAGATTGGTCCCTGAAAAGAGGATAGGGAAAGGTGTAGGAATTCGAGTAGACCGCACTTCTCACAACTCAGAATCCAGCCGTAGCTCCAGACCCCAGATTTCCCTGATGGCGCCCTCTCCCAGCCCTCCCATCCACTGGTGAGCGGGATTGCCATTTGCTCTAGGTAGTTCTTCCTGACCTAAGGAAAAACCCTGACACATAAAATCACAGGAGAAGCAACATCCCTGGAGGAAGGAAATGCTTTGGCATCACAGACGGGTGCCCCAGCTGGTGAGGGAGGACGCTTAGGAAATGGGCAGCTCAACCCTGGGGCCCTCGCCTGGAATGCGAGTCCTTTCCGTGCTTTCACTCAGTAACTCCCCGCGTGGCCCCTCCTGAAGCCTACCCCTGGCGGCAGACAGGTGAGGACCCAGCAGTGCAGGCTTCGGGCATAGACCAGGTCCAGGAAAAGCCAGATCCCAAATTTGCTGGGGACTGCCCGGCACCTCCCCGCGCTGCCACGACTGCTGGGCAGCAGCAGTGTCCACATAGCAGAGGGAACTCCGAGACACCAGGGGGAGGGATCCCGAGTGGCTCTGGGTTTCCTTTTCAAGTCCCATGGATACGATCTAAGAATCTGGCCTCTAAGGAGGTGTTCTGGTGAATCGGTCCGGTGGGTCTGCCAGGAGACCTCCCGCACCACCACTCCCGAAAGTCAGCGCCGGGGCCGCCGGGGCGCGGCAGGCGCAGCTCATCTGCCCCGCTTTCCAGCAAAGCCCGCAGGAAGAAACGGCTCTTACCTGCACATCACTTCGTGCGTCAGGAGCACTCGGCACATTTCTGGATTCTTATTTTGTCCCTCGTAAGCTATGGGCTGCGAAAGAGGTGGGGGCAGGAAGGGAAGAGATGACAGGAGTGGAAGGACAAAGGAAAGGGGACTTTAGAGCAAGCACAAAATTGGTTTTCCTCGCGCTGACCACCACTTGTTAGCAGTCCCCCGCTGGCAGCAGAGAACCTGAGCTGTGGCCTGGTTAGCTCAAGCTAAGTAGTGACTGACAAGTTTGCCCCAGTGAGGACACAGTTCCTGCAACGGGAATGCTTGGAGGACTGCATCTCCCGAAATTGCTTCCACTCTTCACCCTGTTGCTTGCCTACCCCCACCGCCAGCATCTCCCCAGCCAGAGCGGACAAAGTGTGAGTGGACTTGGAGAGAAGTCTGACCCAGGAAAGGGGTTGGCAGGGGCAGGCTAGAGGGGGAAAGGACATAGGGGGACCCCACGAGAAGAGGGGCTGAGTGTGCCTTCCCGGGCTCACCTGCTTGGTGACCGAGTCGATGAGCCTGACATACAGGTCCTGCTCCGTGCGGACGCCTGCAGAGGAATGGGCACGAGGTCAGTGCAGTGCAGCACGGCCGTGTCCCCCAAACCCGTCCCCAGGCTGTGGCCGGGGCCCAGGCAGCCGCTGGGACTGCAGGCTGGCGCGAGCAAGCTGAGCCGTCCTGGGGGCAAAGACCACCCACCCGCCCCCTGGCCCTGACTGGGCCTCCCACAGCCCTGCTCTCCCCAAGCCTGGAGGCTGCCTGCCAGTGATGGCGACAAGGCCAACTGCCCTCCGTGAAAGAGAGCGGGCGGGCGCCTCCGCCAGCAGGCAACCACGGCCTGCCGACTGGCGCGGGGCGCTCACCGTTGCTGTAGAGAAGCTGTAACTTATAGTGGGTGCCGTTGTTGGTCTTCTCATTGCCTTGTTCCTGAAAAGACAAGCAGCACGTAAGTCCCTTGCTTTCCAGCCCCCAACAAGGGACAAAGGAGAGAACGTGTCCCTACGCTGCCTTTCTACCCCTCGCTGGCAGCTCTGAACAACCCCCTGCCCAGCCCCAGGTCAAAGGGCAGAAGCTTCTGCCACTGGCTTGTCTCCAAAAGTTGCCAAGGCTCCCGGCCACCTGACCCTTTCCAACCCTCTGTCCCTACCCCATAAAAGTGTCCTCGGAAGTGCAACCCCCAGTGCGCCAAAAGGAGACCGTGCCAACGATGCCCTTAAACAGGCTCACCCAACCTTCTGGCCTGGTCATCCTCGGGAAGCCCCAAGGCTCCTCGGGGCAGAATGGTGAAGGAACCTGTCGCTTGGAAGGGCAGCATTTGGCCCTCTCCCTCCAGGGCCGGAGCCTCCAGGGCCAAAAGCTCAGGGACCCAGGTCCGGATTCAAGAGGGGGGCCAGGACACGCCTGCTCTGAAGCTCACATTGCCCAGCCGGGGAAGACTGAGGCGCAAAGAGGGCGAGCAAGCCTCCTTTGCTTACATATCTGTTTTATTTTAGATCAAATCCAGCCTCCAAAAACCGGGCCTGGGTTGGGAGCAGGCGCTGCCTTGGGCAGCGGGGTAGGAAGGAAGACAGGTCCAGGCTGGGTTCCCACCTAGTCCCTACCACCCACTCTACAGGAGCTCGCAGGTGCAAATAACAAAAATTACCCGGAGAGGGGCAACCGCGGCCTGGGGTACACTTTCAAACTGTGTTCTAGTTGGAAGGGCGCTTGCTGGGGGTCAGTCTACGACCACAATCTGCTGATGACCCAGAGGCTGGGTGCGCCTAGCCGCCAGCGCCCCCGCAGGGCGCGGTGCCTGAATGCTGGGGGGGCGGGGAGGGGGGGAGTTGGGAAGTTGCTGATTTAGAGGCCAGCGATGAGAAAACTCGATTTATCATCCCTAGTGATGCCAGCGGGAAAATGTCGCGAGTGACAGATGGAATCTTCGGTGCTTTGCAAGGAGCTAGTTACTAGTCTGTAAGGAGAAGGGGCCCCCCGCTTACTTTGTCATTCTCCACAAAGTCCACGAAGGCCGTGCGCTCAATCTCCACCGGCTGCCCCTGCCTGTCGTAGAGCGCCAGGACGAAGTGAAAGAAGTTGGATTTCCTCAGGTTGGAGGGAGGCTGCTTCTCAAAGTGCGCCCGGGACAGGGCGACTCCGCTGCGCAGAAAGAGACACGCAGGACACCGGACGAGGCAAGGAGAGAAAGACAGGGTGTTACCAACCAGCGCACGCCACACTGCAGAGGGTCAAGGGTCCAAGTGCAGAGTTCTGGACCCCTCGGGCTTTTTTTTTTTCCAATTCGGATTAATAAGTACAGACTCCTTAGAGGAGGTGCAGTGGCCATGGGTGAGGGTAGGGGGGCAGGGACCATGCCCCCTGCTTCTGCCATTGACAAGTGTTCCTGTCTCCAGGAGGTCCAGCGCCAGGCAGCTCCCTGTCCGGCCTTCGGTGGAGACCAAAGGATCCTGGCCGTGGCCGAGGCCCGGAGCGGTCCCCAGAGGTGGCGGCCCAAATCTAGTGCCGTCCAGCCGCCCCCTCACTTCTCCCTCAGGTGGTGCAGCCGCCTGGTCAACATTCGGAGCTGGGTCCCCGAGTTAGGGGAATAAGCACCTCTTTACTTTTGAAGAAGTGACCTTTCCTTCATCTTCATTACAATTACTGTCCTAGCGCTACTGCCCCCAACACCCCCAAGATATCTCAGAACGGAGCTGGGTGAGAACCCCCTAGAGGCGGGAAGTCCAGAGCCCAGGCCTCCGTCCTGCAGGGAGAGGCCTCGCCTCTGGCGTCCCTCGGTCTTCCGAAAAGCTGCACCCCGCACAGCGGCAGGGGGTTGTCCCTGAGCCCAGTACTGTAGATCCCGGGCCACCGCGGATGACTTGATACTAGAAACCCTGTCCCCAGAACTGCCTTGCTTGAGGAAGTCAAAATATTATTAAGAGGCAGATAGCGTCCTCGCCTGGGACTGAGGGGATCCCCGCTCAAGCGCAAATCCGGGCGATCGCGGCCAAACCCGCTGACCGCGAAACCCAAGTTGGCGGACCGGGGAGGCGCCCTCGAGCGCATTGCGTGTGTGCACACCCCTCCCTGTCGACCTGTCGCGGCCACGGACAAACTGGCCGCCAGATCACATTTAACAGGAGACTGGGGGCCCAGGCGAGCGCGCAGATGGCCGAGGCTGCCCGGCGGCGCTGGGGTCTCTGGGCCTCGTGCCCGAAGGGCTAGAGCACTTTCACTCTTTTGGAGGGTGTAAAATTGTGTCCGGAATCCTCCCCTCAGGCTGCCTGTTCCAACTTTAACAATTATTTGATCTGGGAAAAGGGGGCAAGTAGAAAAGATGTCTTTAAGGAGCTCGGCTAAGGAAATGCGCCGCGGAGCCAGCTCTGCGGAGCTGCCTGATTTCCCTTCGCCTGCAGCCCAACGAGTCCCGGGCTGCGGAAAGCCGCCGCCGGTGCGCCATCTGCCCGAGGGGTACGGGCGCGTGCGGGGCTCGGCCGGGAGAAAGGGAGCGCTGTCCGCCCGGGACTCCGGACCGCTGCGACTTTGGCTTCCTCTGCCCCAAGGGGGGCGGCCGGTTCGCTCTACCCGGGACGCCCGGAGACCTGGCCTGTCTGGGAAAGGAGTAATTTCTCGGCGTGGTGTCGAGCCTGGAGAACTGATAGGCAGCCGGGAGTCGTGGGAAGAAGTTTCGTGGCCCTCGAGGATTAGGGAGCTGTCCCTCGCAGACCAGGACGCGGAGACCACAAATCCCAGCTCAGCGGTGGCGAGGAGGGAGGGCGGCCGGGATGTCCTCGCGGGCTGGCACCCTGGACAGGACGGGCACCGTCTCAGCACGCAGACGCTTAGAAACAGTCAGCTTGAGGGACTAGTAACACTAGAGGCTGGGGATCCCTGCGTCTGCGGCCCGGCTCCTCGCCTCGCCTTTCTTCTTCTGCTGCTGCTGCGGTTCCTTCTACTGTTCCTCTTCCGTCTTTTATTGTCAACCCCGTCTCCCCCGTCACCCCCGCCTCGGCGCGTGCGGCCCACGGCTTTATCTCCACGCCGGGACCCTCCGGCCTGCCCCCCTCCCAGAGCTCCGGCGCTTGGCCTCCCCAGGCGGCCGCCCCGGCCTCTCCCGCCCCTCTCACCGCCGCCGCCATCTGGCCGCAGGGCTCCGGGCCGCCAGGAGTCGCCCGGCAGGATGCGGGAGGAGAGGCGCTCGCCAGCGGCGCGGCGAAACCGGGAGTGGCTGGAAGCCGGCCTTCGGCGGGCGGCCGCCGCCCCTGCCTGCTGCTCGGGTCCTCATGCTCCGCACCCGGCGGGGCCCCCTCGAAGGACCAGGCGTGAGTTGCGGGGCGTCGGATGCTACGTGATTGTATTTCCTCCCAAAGAGTGGTCTTTGGAGGATGGGGGGGGGACACAAACGACCCGGCAGTTCCGAAACTCTAGTGTTGGCCGCACGGTAAGGGTTCCCCTGACTGCAGAGACCTGCCTACCCCCAGGGCGAGCCCCGGCGCGTCGGGCCAGGACGACAGACGTGGGGCGAGAGCGCGAGGGGAGGGGGCGCGCAGGGAGACTGCGAGGGCACAGTAACTGCGCGGCCGGCTCGTTACCTCTGCGCCGCGACGTTGGCGTCCACCACGCCGACATTCCGGACCCAGGACCTCACCGAATCCATCTCGGCGCCCAGCGACTTTTCTTTCAGAGTTGGTCCTCTTCCTAAAGTATCTTGAATCCCAAACATTTAAAGAGTCTGGTCTACTGTCGCTTTAAAAATAGAGTTACAGCACTGTCCTTACTGTTCCCAACGCTGTCACCAAACCGTCTCCTCCAAAGCAATCCAAGAAAAGCGATGAAGTGCCGAAGTTTGAGTCTCTTTTGGAAAAAAAAAAGAAACGATAACCCGTCCTTTGCTTCACGCGTGAGGTGCGGACTGATATAAAGTTTGGGTTTATCCTCCGCAAATTCAGATCTTCCGCCTCAGGCCTTCGGTGTTAGGTCGCGCGCATCCTTCCAGCTGCAGGGCTACCTCCAGAAAGTGATCACAATTTAGAAGCATCACCTGTTCTGGGAGAAACGGGAGGAGATTGATGGCTGCCTAATCTCTCCCCTTCCTCCTGGTACCCTCCTCTCTGCACCTCCCCACCGCTCCAATTTAGAAAAAAAAAAAATCCCCAACAGGATCAGTTGTACAAGGAAGGGGAAAGACCCAGAGCCGAGAGGAGGCGGTGGCTGCGAGCGCCGCGGAGCCGGGCTGCAGCCGCGCGCGGGCCCCATGAATGGGTTACTACGGCCCCGGCCGCGGGAGGCGGAGCCGCAGCCCGATAAGGAACCTCATTTGCATGAGCGCTCGGGATTGGCCTGCGCTGGGCAGGCCGGGCCGACGTCCTCCGGCGGCGCGCGCCACGCTCGGCGTTGCCAGGAGTCCGGGAGGTGAAAGGGGACAGAAAGCTGCGGTCGCCGCGTCCTTGCCCGAACCCCGAGTGCGTGCTTGAGATGGGGGTCCCCAAATCCCAGAAGGACGCTGGTTGGGCGCCCCCTGCTAGACTGGGACGCACCGGCTCAGTCTGGCTGCGGGAGCAGGAAGCCTCTGTGGATCCTGCCCCCAGATGCAGATTTTTGTAGCCTGCCGGGGGGCACATTCATTCCCGGGGCTTGGATCTGTGGGCACGTTTGTGAAAAAGCGGGCAGTGTGACCACACGTAATTACGTTTTGGGCAAACGTTCCCCAGAGCAACCCAGTTCCCTGACCGGCTCTCCCAAGCCTGGAGTTACGGGGTGACACTCAGATTTCGTGTGCGGTTTACAAGTTATTGAGAGAGGAGGATGTATGAATGAAAGCGGGGGTGGAGTGTGGACGAACAAGGCTCAAGTGCTATTCAAATAAATAGAGTGTCGGGGAAAAAGGACGAGGGGCTAAGGAAATACTCCCGGGCGGATGCGAGCGGGAGTCGCACCCGCGCAGACGAGAGGTTGCTGACAGATCCTGGCAGGCTGAGCGCGGGAGCTGCTGGCGCTGTCCCGGGGCCCCCTCCGCTCCCCCAACCTACTTCCGAAGCCCCCGGGAGCCCGCAGAGGAGCTGCGGGAGGCGGCTGGGGAGTCGCGGAAACTTTGCCCACGGCGCCCGGTCGCCGTGGTGCCGGCCGAGGGCTGGTGGCCGGGAGGCGGCGGCAACTCAGCCAAACAGCTGAAACCCTAGACGGCTTTTTAACTACGCCGGGCAGTTCGCGGTGCCTATTAAAAATCCTCCTGGCTGGGTGTGATTTTCTTGCTTCTCCTTTTGTATTCTGATCTGTGCATAGATCTGCTGCTGAAATCTAGAACACCAGCGCGAAAACAGATTTGAGGACAATGAATGCAAATCTGTGCTCAAAGACCATCTGCCGCGGAGGAGACAAATCAGCTGTTCCGCAGTTCGAGCGACTGCGCCGGAGCCTCCCGGCCTCATTACGAAGAGGGCCTTGGGAAAGCCTGGATTACATTACGGAGACTTTCTCCCCATTTAGGACTCAAATTTGAGCGTGAATTGACTCCCGACCAGATCCCTTAGGTGTAGGTGAGCGCTCACGAATGAACTGCGAGAGTTTGCCGCTAGAGGACCCAGCGCCTCGCAGCTCGTTTGCCCGGCCTGCAGGGAGCCCGCACTTTCAGAAAACGCCGCTCTCCTGAGAAAGGGAAGCGTCCGCGCTACTCTCCACCCTAGGGGCAAACCGCAACCCAGGCCGCGCGGGGGGACCGCGCTCGGGCAGCACAGATTTCTACAGCGGGGATTTTCTAGAACACTGAGGGAAGGGTGCACGGACCCTCTCAGCACAAACTCTGGATCCAGGGATCTTGGGCAGTTGATTTCGGGGGTGCGGAAAACGCGGGACCCCGCTTCTGGGTTGTGTTGACTGTGGAACGCCAACCCCAAGGCTTTGGCTTGATTCGTTGGACAAGAGGGCCAGGGGGCGCAATGCAGGGAAATTGGGGCTTCAGAATATGGAATTTTGTAAAAGCCAAGTAAAACAGGGCTTGTCCAAAGAAAAGAGGGTGGGAGAGAAACTTGTAGGGCTGAAACTGACTAGCGTTTCGATTCGGCAGTTCTGTATTATATGCAGGTTTTATGGATAATTTCTGTCCCTGCAAAGACTAAGCACCGGGAGTTAGCAACCCCGGCTCGCACCTCCTATTAAATCTTTCTGAATCTCAAGTAATCACCCAGCCATCCTCGTCCGCGGTCTGTGCCCAGGGGAGCCACCGCCTCAGGTTCCTCGGCGGGGTGTGGAACAGCTCTTGAGCGGCTCTGAACATGTTGATGAGCTCGGCTATTTTTTTTTTTTTTCAAGGGGGCGTCTGAGCTGCTGCACTTCGACGCTGCGCCAGAAACGTACCCAGCGCAGCCGGAGGGGCTACGGGGCAGCAGAGCGCCCGGGCTGGCCGGGACCGTTTGCCCCTCAGGCCAGGGTTGGCTGGGGTTAGAGGGCAGAGCTAGGGTCGAGGAGGCTGGCTCTTCTCCCCCGCAACAGCTGCCACCCAAATTATGCCCCTCAAGAAGACAATGAATTGGTTCTTTCTCCGGGCTCCCTGCGTCCCGCCCCAAACCAGACTGCGGCGCACAGCAGGCGTCCGTCCCCACCCCACCTCCTAGGGACAAGTTCAGGGGTGGCGGTGCCCTGCCGGGAGGTAGTTTGAGGAAGCTTTGACTCCGGAACTTTGTCCCGGAGGGAGGGGGAGACGCATAGCTCCTGGCTCGCTACTCTCGGGGCGGACCGCCGAGGCACTGCTGGGGGCCCTGTGGGCGGCAAGCCTCCGGCGCCCCAGTTCTCTCTTGGCTGGAACCACGTTCCAGGGCTTGCGAAGGAAGGGGGTGAAGGGGGTATAGGGAGGTGGAAGCAGCCTTGGGTCCAGCGACGCGGCGCTTCGGCCTTCGGGGAGCAGAGAGCGTTTCTGCCAGCCGACTTGGGTTTAATTAGGTTCGCGTAGGTTTGGGGGAGGGTTGGGCGCAGGCTTGGCCACCCGAGGCAATGGAGCGTTGGGTAGTGATGGAGCGAGTCGTGGCGGCTGAGCCTGGAGGGCCGTTGCCATCTCCACCGCCTCCGGCTACCCCAGAACAAACCTTCTTTTCGAACACGCCACACAAAACCCTGCTAGAGCCGCGCGGGTGCCTGGCAGGCGCAGCTGCGGCCCCGGGAAGCCCGGCCCGGTGGGGGTGCGGGGCCTGCGCGCGCCTCCAGGCTACTGCCCTCGAGCCTCGTTCCGCCCTTGCCAGAGCCGAGAAGAATCTAAGATGGACATTATTAAATTCTTCACGACAGTCTGTTTACACAAAACCGGGGCGGCTGCGGTGATATTCCTTCTTTTGCCCCGTCCCCGCCTTTGTACACTCCTCCCAAGGAACCCCCTGTTTTCTCCCGTTCGCGTTTCACGTCTGCACCTCAATGCGTTGCGTTCAGTTTCCTCCCGATTGGATTTAAGGCCCGTTTCCCCAATCTCGTTCCGTGCGGTGCCTAGGACACCGCATCTCTCCGCGGGGTCGGAGGACTGGAATTTTTTCTTTAAAATTACTCTCCAGGCCTTGTTCTCATCCGGTAGGGCCCTGGTATGAAATCAGAGGTGTGAGAACACCCCGCCCCCCTTACAACCTGACCTTCACCCCCACAGCCAGACACAGACCGAGGCGCCTGGGTCTACGCAACCTGAAGAACGGAGCCTGCCGAATATCCGGGGAATTCGATCCACTGGGACAGTCAGTCTGGGTTTTGTAAATGAAATAAGTGGCAGTCCCCGTAAGCCTCTCTTCGTACGTGTGTTTTCCAATTTAGTTTGTTTTAGTTGGAACCCTTACTTTTCATTTACCCGAGTAGAAGTAAATGTATTTACTCGTCCCAGAATCATTGCCGTTCTTTGACTCATAATTCTTAATGAAATCGTTTTTTAAATACCCAAGTTCACTAACTCCTACTCCAGATTTCACCTTTGGCGTTTTTCTATCAGAACCGGGACTTGTTTGCTCCAAAAATGAGAAATCCGTGGGCGGGAGGGTGGGAGTAGGGGGTGGGGAACTACTCTATTCACAAATTCACAACAAATATTTCACGAGGACTCCATCATCCATACCAAAGAGCTCCTTTTCAGGACAAAGTGCCGAGAAATTAAATTTGTTTCTTGATTTGTTTTTACATAGTGATGGGGATTCGAGCGGAAACAGCTGCAGAAATACTGAGGCACGGAAGAACATTTTATAAACCCACGATGTTGCACCCAGGCCAGTGGGGTCACTGCAATGAATTTACTCAAAATGGGCTTTCGGAAGAGTTGTCTCTACCGTAGAATTCAGGCGACTCCCGAAGTCTCTTCCTCTCCTGTTTTTCCTCCTGCTCTTCTCTCTCCTGCTCCCTCTACCCCCCAGGAACACCCTTCCTTCCCTTCCCTTAATCCGGGCGCAGAGCGAGGGCGGGTGCCCGAGCCAAGGCAGAGAAGCAGAAAGGTCAAGACAACAAATTTTCGAAGTAGCAGCTGCATGTGGGGGTTTGGAGAGCAGACGTCGGAGAATGGCTGCCTGGGAGGTGTGCGCATTAGGTGGCAGGTGATCTGTAGAGAGAAGTGCCTGGGGAGACCTCCGCGCGAACCCGGGGGCCTGATTTCCTGAGGCTTGCGCGGAGAGCCTCCCCGGCTGGCGCTGTTCTGGGGTAAACCGGCCCGGTTGCAGTCCCTTCCCGTGCAGGAAGGTACTTGTGCAAGAAGATGGTGGCATCTCGGTC